CAGCATTGAACAGAAATGGGGCAGAATAGTAGCAATGTCCGAGTGGCTGTACGGCTTTATGGAACAATTCATGCGCATCAGTGATATTAACCTCTTAGGGAGTTGGTATCAGCCGATCACTCTTTGAAGGTTCGGTTTTCCGGCATTGGTTCGATCCGGTGTGGAAGGCGTCTAGGCAGCAGTGGCAACATAGATGCTGGCCACCTTCTACTACCAGCCACTTACCCTCCTTTTCCAATCGATCCATCATACTTGGGGGCGTACTTTGGGAAGATGGAAGGTGTGCTAGAAACATTAACCAGCCATTAGTGACCGGTCAGATTGATCCCTCTTGCAACCGTGGGTAATTATCTTGAGTTTTACCCTTCAATACACTCAAGGAAATCTGGTTGACAGGCTCGACGTTGCGACACTTTCGGAACGCATCTCCGAGTGCTGTGATGTGCCATGAGCAATTAGCATCTGTCGGACTACTTCTATACATTAGTCCATCGTATTCGGCCCTTCCGAACTGGATTTGGCATTCGGGCTAGGGATGACGGGGGCCAATAGCTGGGCATTCCGTCGCCGTACAAGGACAAGTAGCAAGATAAATATTAGTAGTGGACACAACTGGTATCGTACAGCCTTCCACAGCCCCCTTTTGTGTCTGCCAAACATTTCCCATTTTGATGACGTTCGTTCCCTTCCTAAGAAGGTGAATGGCCTGTGACGACCTTTATGCATCACACCACAATCATTCAAGAGGCACAAGACCTCAATCGCTTAAGTCAACCGGTTTCATCGGTCTCGTCAACAAAAAATCATTTCGGAATGCCCAGGCACCACTTTGACTCGTCAAAAATGATTGTATTTTCTTTCTAAGAAATGTTTAAGGAATGTTTACAGTATTCCGACTTTACAGTACTCAAAAAAAAGTGAGGTAGGCTGGGACAAGGCCTGTCACCGAAGTGCCCCATGGATCTCTAAAAGGACCAATTCTGGCCTCAACCTTACCCAGGGAAGTTGAGAATCGAAGGGCATCTGTCCTTCCTCGAGAAAATTTGGCCGTAAACTCCTGAATGCAGCAAAACCTTGTCTGTTTGGTAGGAATAGGGGTGAATCGAAGGCAACTACAGTAATTGCTCGTCTGAAATGCGCCACATCTTCATCTTCTGCCTCCACGCCTAGAAATGTTTGTATGGGGTCCTCTTCGATACAAATGATTAAAACGTCAGCTGACTTCAGAACCACCTATTTTACTACCAAAAACAAGCGTGGGGTCACGTAAATAAACGAAAGAATTTCAATTTGCATAAAGTTTCCATGGAAATCCATCCTATGGACCAAACCGTAGGTGAGAATCAGCTTCAGACTTACTGACTTACACTGGCCACTGGCATTTTCGCGTGTGTGACAGCTGTGAGCGTTTGGGAAAGTTTGTGCAAGTTAGGGGAAGTTTGTTAGGAACGGCGTTAGAAAAGGGAAGGAAGAAATGAAAAAAATTGTTAGTTGCCTGAATTTACTCACAAACCATAAGGACTGTAGCTGAGGCTAGTGTAGCCACTGCCTCCTCCGTAATACGGTCTTGCACCTCCCAGGTACGAGCTGCCACCGTAATAACCAACAGGTGAATACCTTAATCTTCAAATATCACCGTTTAAGTGAGAATTTAAAGAGTGAAGTAGTATTTGCTGATAAATAGGTAAACTTATTAGACCTTGGTCTCCCCCAGAAACCTTGAGGTTTCGGCACCGGCAGTGGAGAATTTGGTCC